GCAGGGAGCCCGATGTGGGACTCGATCCCAGGACCCTGAGATCATGACCTGAGCCGAAGGCAGACGCTTAACCATCTGAGCCACCCAGGCGCCCGTAAGCACAATTTCAACACCACAAAACCTCCCACACTCAGGAACACAGAAACCCGGAGTCACCAGAAACACACATAAAGCAGGATCATTGCACTCGAATACTAACGCACAGGTAGATGGAATTACAACTCCCCACCCCCACAGAGTCACAGAATTACGTCACAAAGACACATATGTAGAATTACAACATCAGCAGACCCACAATGTTACATAGACCCATGCGGGAACACAGAGTCACACGTACACACAGAATCACAGCCACACGGGGACAACCAGTGTACTCACACACCCTGAGGCGACCCCAAAGATGAGTCAACACACAGAGCTCTGGTGCCTACCAAGGCGAGGTCTTTATGGTGGCGTAGAGATTAGTGGGTTTCAGAGCCAGAGTGTCTGGGCCAGTCCCTTCCCTTCCCCAACCCAGCCCAGTTCCCTCCATTGAGGGCCCAGGTTACCCCCTGAGGGAAGGAGGGACCCGACCCTTCTTCCCCATAGCACCAATCTGGACAGGCCATCCCATGACAAAACAAGAGTGAGAAGTGCCTTCCAAAAAGGGGGTGAATTGGGCTGAGAGAGGGGGGACCTTTTCGTGTGGGAGACCCAAAAGTAGCACCATCGTAGAAACAGGGTTGGAGGGTAAGAGCGACACACAGGTGATGGCAGGAGTATTAAGGAGTCCTGGCCTCTCTCCCCACCCCGTGATACGCAGATAGGGCTGTGCGTGTGTCTGCACGGCTGGGGAAGTCTCCTGGATTGTAAGGGAGCCCCAGGCCCCCCAGGTACCTGGGGTAAAGTAAAGGTAAGTGCATCCCTGGAGAGCTGAGGGTTCCACGACAGGGAAACTGTAGGGATATGAGCTCAAGGATGGCGAGGCTTGAGCATGAGGTCCACTAGTGGAGGGACCTGGAATGGGAAGACTTCAGACAGAGCAGGAATTGGGGCAAGCTGAGTAGGGCAGGAAGCCCAGAATAGAATTAGGAGGGTGGGGTCTGGAATCAGAGAGTCAGAGGTCTTAAGATTCTGAACCAGAGGAATCCACAGGGTGACGTCCAGATTCTAGAATCAGAAGCACCTGGAGGCTGAGTTCTTGAACCAAAAGAATTTGGATCTGATATCAGAGACAGTTGGAGGCTGTGAGGCCTAGAACCAGAGGAATCTATAGAGTAAGAATAGAATTCAAAAAACTCTTGAGGTCTGAGTTCTAGAACCAGAGGGATTTTGGAGTCATAAGATCTAAAATCAGGAGCTGGGCATTGTAGGGTCGAGAACCAGAAAAACTGGTAAAGGCAAGGTCTATAATCAGAAGTCTGAAGGCTAAGTTCTAGATCTAGAGTAATTTGGGGTCATAAGATCTGGAGAGCAAACTGGAGATTGTGAGGCCTAGAACCAAGGGAATCGATAGGGTGCGGTCTGGAACCCGAAGACCTTTGAAGCCAAATTCAAGAATCAGAGAAAAGTGAGATCAGCAGATACGGAATCAAAGGCTCCTGGGAACTGCAAGTTCTAAAGGTTGGGTGGTCTCGAACCAGTGGATGGTGGAGGTCACAAGGTCTAGAGCAGGAGAGACCTAAAGCATGGAATCTGCCCCGGAAGTACTATAATGGTTATAAGATCGACTTAAAACTCATTTTACTTCTTTTTGATGGGAAAAGTAAGTCTTGAGGGTAGAAAGTTGAAAAGGAAGGAGCTGGGCATCATGAAGCGTACCACCAAAATGATTCAGAAATTAGGAAGTCTGGATTTGGAGCCAGGTGTATTCCAGATCAGGAAGACTAGAACCAATGCGAAGCTTGGGTCATGGGGTCCAGAATCGGAGGCAGCTGTTGGTTGTAAGAGCTGGAATCAGCAGGAATCGGAGCATGTGACATCTGTTACAAGGGAGACTTATTTACAAGGAAAGGTCTAGAACCAGAGGACGTCAGAGTGAGTTCTAGAACAAGAGGACTCTGGTGGGTGTAGGCTCTGGAGCTTGAGGGACTTGGAGGCCGTGGAGACCTAGAACCAGATAACTTGGGAGGCCGTGGAGGTATGAAAAGAGACAGTGCTGGAGCCGGGGAGGTCCAGAACGAGAAAGCTGGACTTTGCGAGGTCTGGAGTCAGAGGGGTTTAGAGGATGTGTTGGGGGCGGGGCAGTCTAGAAGAGCAGGTCAGAAGTTGTGTGGTCTAGAACCATAGAGAGCCGGAGGTTGCCTGGTCTGGGAGCAGAGGAAGCTGGAGGCTACCCCTGGAAATGAAACCAGTGTCCAGGCGAGGCTGGGGGCAGTGGAAGTCCCCAGTGGAGGGGCAGGCAGAGCGGGGTGGCCACTTGGAAGGCTAAGGGGCTAATCAAGTTGCTAGGGGTGAGGTCTGCCCGAGACCCCCCCCCATTAACACCTGAGGGAGGAGGGGGGATCAGAGTCCTGCATTCCTATGGACCCCAGGCCATTCATAGCAATTCAAAACCTATCACGAAAACGACAAAAAGAAATAATAATAAAAGATGGATGGAAAAGAAATGTGATTATGG